CGCATTTAAATTTAAAAAAAGGGATTTCTGGTGACAGCGACGGACACCAAAACGGTTCAGGTTCATTTGTAAGCGTCATCGAATAAGCAGAACTAAAGCGATGAATTGTCTTTTCAGGACGCATCGGAAAGTCGCTTAAAGCGTCCCGAACAAGCGTTTTAAACCGAAAACGATTTTTATATAAAAAATATATTAGCATATATCCAGTGACAACATAAAAACTAGCCATAAATATGGTTGCTCTGGGACAAAATTCATCAGACAACTGATTCTGAAACGACTTCGGTCTATAAACAGTTTACATCTTCTATTTGATATTTAAATGAAGGAAGGAAGAGAGGAATATTATTTCAAATCATCCGAAAATGCTAATCGTAAGTGGTTTTATGAATCGGCAAATAAAATTTACTATTTTTGGCCAGCCCCCAAGTTCTTCGTCAGCTTAATCTGCTTAGGTGCGGCGAATGCCTGTGGATATCTCAGATATTCTATTATTTTTCAAATCAGTTTTTATCATTAGACGCAACAAAATAGTTCGGTTAGTTATAAAATAACTCTATTGGTTATTTTTTGCTGTGGCATGACTTTGGCCATTGCACCTTGTTTAATTTTAAGTTGTCATCAACTCAATCATGACGACCCTTATTAAAGAGACTACGATACGATAAAATTATAAAAATTGTCTGCTTTCATTTGAAAAAATAAGGCCCTACAGAGTGATCCATTTAAAATAGGAAAGTTATTACTTGTCCATGAAAATACAAATATAATCTTAATAACACGGGCCGCCCTGTACTTTTAATGCACAATAGGCGTATCTGGGTTTTAAGAAGATACAGTCCGCCGCCGCTGAAAAATAAACCCGCCTTTTGTTCCTACGGGCTTTCCTCTCTCTCTCTCCCTCGCCAATTACTTTTTATAAAATAAATCGAGTTTTGCCGCAAAATATATAATGCATTGATATACCCGGGGCAACAATCTATCAATGTGACAAGCAACGTATTTGACCGGTTCGCGCTTTTTGCTTTCCGCCCAAAAAGCCGAATTACATTTTCGCGACGTAAATCAAGCTGTCCCGGCTCTTTCGCTTTTTCTAACGCGGTGTCCAATCGAAAATAAATATTGCCGAAGATAGCAGGTCGTATTATTTCGTCGGGTCATTTGTTAACCGCCCTATAGAAAAGATCCGGGAGCTATTGTTGCGTTTTTTCCGGTCAGTGGGAATTTTATTTTCCCGCGAAAGAAACTTTATGGTAAGTGAAATGCGATCCTAAACGAGATGTGTTTATAAGCTCACGAGTAGCCAGTTTACTTGGATGATCTATTGTTGTTTTTTTTTAGGTAATTTTGGTACACTAACAACCCAAGTTAGGTCATTATTATAAGACCCTTAATGCCAAAATAAAACATCGAAATTTATCTGTGTCTCTCATAATTGGAAAACCCACAATAGTTCAAAACATTGGCATTTTTACAAAAAAAAAACTTAACTATATGAACCAATCACAAAATGCTTTGTTTGTCACGTACCATCATTACGTCATTCTAAATTGATAAATGGTAATTCATTAAACATAGTGGGCTAAGATTGTTTGTGTAAATGCAGTTTTTATTGAACAAAATAAAAAAATAACAATATTTATAAGTTAATTATCTGATATTTAACAGAAGAGCTTGTGTGGTACCATTAAAATTAACTTTTAGTTTTTCATAATAATCTAATATAATGATAATCTAAATAATAAAAACATACCAAATATCTTACGAAAAAGGAAATCTTTTTACTTACATTTTTAATACAAAATAATTTTTGCCACATTTCATTTTATTTTTTTTTTAATTATAATTAAATATAAATTAATAATATATAAACATAATAAACTCAAAAATATGTATTTAAAACTTCATTAGTACCAAAAAATTTTTATTTCAATTTTAATTTTCTTTTACCAAACATCTTACGAATAAGGAAATCTTTTTACTTACATTTTTAATACAAAATAATTTTTGCCACATTTCATTTTATTTATTTTTTTAAATATAATTAAATATAAATTAATAATACATAATAATAATGAACTCAAAAATATGTATTTAAAACTACATTAGTACCAAAATTTTTTTATTTCAATTATAATTTTCTTTTACCAAAAGAGCGGAACGCAGCGGAGCGAGTGTCTAAAAAAACATATGGTTAAAATATATTTAATTTATGGATATTTCCATTTACATCTCATTTTCAGTTTTATTTAATTTCATTAAATATAAATTAATTAAATATAAAAATATTATTTCAAACAGTTTAATCACGACCGGAGCGCAGTAGAGCGAGTATTTAAAAAAAAAAGATAAATTGATTGTTTATATAAAAATATAATTTCTTTGTAAAAACAATCTATTTATGAAAGTGTTCTCTCTATGAAGACGGTCCATATTAATTTATTACTGAACAAAATTATGAAATACTTTTTTTCATTGTCATTTAAAGTATCAATTATATTTAACTGGTACTTTTAGTGGACTACAATGAAACTAATTAAAAATTGCCCTACTCATAAAATCTAAATTTCGTATTAACGCTTCGGAGGCTTTACTAGCTGCATTATTTAAAGAATGACATATATGTTTTACAATTTGCAGGTTAGAACCATCTGCCTTAAGCAGTGTAAGTAAGGAATGTTTTTTTCCACATAAATTATTTGCGTGCTCTGTGCCTAGATTAGATTAGATTAACAGTTGGGAGAGCTAGCAGTCAGCCTGTCCGTCACTGCGACCCAGAGGATCTATTGTGACTCTCGCCATAGCTATAGGCCTCTATCCAGGTTCGCCTCTCTAACTAGACTCCGCAACTTCGATAATGGCTCCCTCGTATAGCTCTCTGCCTCTGGTTTGGTATCGCCCAGCAGATGGAAACGCACTCTCGCTAGGCCTTCGCAGTGGCACAGTACGTGTGCGGCTGTTTCCTCCTCTTCCTGACAGAATGTACATTCTGTGTTTTCTTCCACTTCCATCAGGCTTAGATGCCTCTTAAGCCTGCAGTGGCCCGTCATTACTCTTACGGCTTTTCTATTGTAGCTCTGTGCCTAAGCCAACCAAATTTTTCTCATTTAAAATTAACCTTTTTAAATATTTCGTCAAGGTTAGTTTAATTAAAGAATATTTTGCATTATCCTCTTGCAAGAGATCTTCTTATAAGGAAGGATATATAACATTTTTAATTAATTAATTAATCTTGTACGAACTGCCTTATAGAATTATTTTTTGAAGGTATTTTTAAATTGTTTAATAATTAGAGCGATAGATAGAACCCTGATGTGCTTTTTTATTTGTTGTTCGAGTATTACATTTACTTTGGAATACTCATTCAGCCGAAGTTTTGACTTGATACTCCGAATTAAATCGACTTTGTGGGGTCTAATTGTTTTTTTGCATATTTTATAAAATGCTTCTCGTTAGACCCTTCTCAAAAAGTTACATTTTGCACTGGACGTATAATAATCACTACGTCATGAGGTTACTATAAGATTACCCTGGGAGAAGCGACACGAAAAATCTGTTCTTATCGTTAAAAAAACATTTAGAAAATTTATCATTTCTCCAGAATTTCTTGACTGCCTGTATTCGTATAATTTTAGTTACCAAGCTGCTACCTACTGCAGAGTAAACATATCGTTTCGTAGTTCAAAACATTGAAGCATAGTCTAAGTAACTTACATTCAACTTGTAAAAGTTCACTGTGCGAGAACGCAAGTTTCACATCAACTTTTCCCGTCAAAGAGACTTCCTGTTTCACGTTTAAAATGCCAATGATCAAAGAGAACTACAAAATTAGTTTTTTCTGAACGAGTTATCGAGAAAAAGGTATCATCCCGTAAGCATCAAGCTAAGATATGGGCTTCTAGCTGTTTCAAGCAATCGACTGAGACGAAATCTTATTATGTTTTAAATCTCCGCCAATCTCACCCGTAAACTACGAGCCTTGGCAAGAATTACGCCTGAAACGCTTCCCCAATATTGAATATACAATGTAGCAAGGAGCTTTACAGGGAGTCTGCAGCTTCAGCGTCAGCCGGTGATGACGAAATATTCCGTATTAGATTTTAGCTTCAAATTTACTGCTCAAAAGTTAATACCTCGCAGTCTCGGGGAGTTCTTTGGGAGAATAGCAAACGTAGGTCAAAGTGCAGTTGTCAAAGAATTTACATTAACAGGATGCAGAAACTTTAAAAAATATGTATATATGTATAAATTGTCTGGAACAACTTGAATTTCTTTTTGAGGTGGATGGCATTATTGAGGAACGCGTATTCAAATCGACCTTCATTTTTTGCATCAATTTATTTGTTATATCGTTCAAAATTAGCATCAGACAAAATCAGACATTCAAAAGTTTTCCTTAAACCTAATTTATAAGGAAATGTATGGCTTTATATGAACGCTCCTTCATTATCCATGCGACAGACTCATGGCCACTAATTCCAACAGCTTATAACGCAACTATTTAACTTATTATTTCGAAACCTCAAAATTTAGTCTTAGCCCGTGAATGAAGATTAAGATATTTCTTATGCTCATGATAGTGGCAGCTCCTCTCATTAAGTTTTTCTCGATCAATGATGGTTTCCAAATCTTTTTCTCGACTTCGCAGCACGAAGTTGGTAATCGCTCTTCGTTCAAAATGGCGGAGCGGCATTCCACGCATCCATTTGTGTACCGCAAATTCCGCGACTTCCTGCCGGTACCCTACGTCCGTCTTCCTTTAACTTTTTTCGTCGCAGGCCGTTCGGTTCAAATTATGCTAATTCCCAAACACCACAAAAGGACCACCACCTAGTCTCGCAGCGGGATGAGGGAAACACACCCCTTATCGTGTCCGAAGCACACACACACACATACGTAACCCCTTCGCAATCCTCCCCGAAACTGGCAGGGCCGAAACGATTCTTCACGACCGTAACCGATCCGACCTTCGCTTACGAGGATTCAACAAGAGAGAACACTGGGAATCAGACAGGATCGTCTCCGTCGCGCTTGTCGGGCCAGTCTAGGTTGAAACGCTGCGGTGGCCGGACGGTTGGCTCAAAAGCGCTCCACGTATAGACGTCGACCATAACTTACTCGCGTGTTTTTCAGTTGCTATCGGCAGGCGCGCGCGAACTTGACCAGTTTTCTTTCATGGTTTTTGATTTGATCCCATTTAGATTCCATTCAGTGCGTAATAGGAGTGGTTCTTTCGCTCATGTGCCCGCGGTTTGTGTTATTTTGAGTTACTTTTAGTTTTGATTTCCCCGACCAACGCCACCCCAACACCCTTCCTTTTTGATTTGGTTCAGTTTATCGGAGATGGCTCCAGTGCGGAACATGCTGATCCTGTTGTCGCTGATCATGTCCTCGTGTCGGGGGATCTTCATAGGCGGAGAGCAAGACGTGGCGAGCCCGCTCAGGGTTGCACAGTGCCGGGCCACCTGCTTGGAAAGGGTAAGGAGCCATGTTTTTGTTTTTTGTTTTTCATTGGCGCTACCCGGATGGGTAATTAAATCGGCGGGGTGGAGTGTTGAATACCGGTAGTTCACGGTGTCAAACTAACAGAGTGAAATTGGTCGACTCTAGTTACCAATACGTTAGTTTATGCCAAGATGAGATGAGTTTTCATCGATCGCAAAGTGCCGAACTTGAACCTGAATTCGGGTGCCGTGAACCCAATTAAATTTGCAATTCCGCTTGGAAAATTGAAAATTCTTCGCTGGTGGTGGAATTGTTTCGAAGCGCGATGTTTCCGATCTGGTTTTAATAGTGATGTTTTGCAAGCTGCATCGTTGACATAGTTAGAAGGCGCATTTGGAAGCCATTTGTTTTTTGTCCTTTCCTAACCACTGGAACGGAACTGGACTATGCTAATGGTTTTTATTTAAAATCAGTACCAAGTACGGTCGATTTCTATGTGATTCGAGACAATAAGTAAGACAGGAGTGTCTTTGTCTAATTCCATTATCCAGCTCAAATGCCTGATTAAAACTAAGTAATCAACGTCGGACGTTATAAACTATTGTGTCCTTCAATCGAATAACATGCAGGAGAGGGAAGATTCTCTCTCATTAATCGTCTCGTTCGATGAAAGGCTGAAAATTGCCATGTCAAACGATATTATCACCGAAACGAGATCTCTCTATCGCATTGTTCAAATATTAAATCCGCCGCGTTTCTCCTAGGAATCTAGTTTACCCGCAATAGTCAAGTTCAAAGTTCAATATCACTACCAACGAAACACAGTGTAGTAAATCCCACGAGAAATCTCGCAACGGGACCTTTACCTTCGATTCCGGACCGGTGAAATATCTTTCTCGTTACCACTCCAATTGTTGTTTGAATCTAACCTAACATTTAACGCTGAAACGTGAACTGAACGCTATCAGCGCGGGGTTTTTGTGACTACGTTCGGTATCGTTCGGATCTCTCGGCTCTCTCTCGTCGTAGATGCCATCTCAGAAATTCGTGACTGTGCGTATCAATGTTGCTGAATCATTTTGTGGAAAGCAGGTGCATTTGATAACGGCGAGAAAAAGAATCTCTTTGTTCTACGCTAAGGTTGCGTGTCCCTGGCGGTATATCCCCGATTTTATGTCAAAACATTTTGGTTTGTTATGCGTCGCCCGCAGAAGTGTGGGTGTCCTAGTAAATTTCGGCCACATTCTCATTTCCGTAGGTATGTTTTAATGGCATTATTCTTAGGGCATTCTCTTCACTTCGCTTCAGGCGTTACACACGCCAACAAAGATTTCGGTGGTTTGGCATTTTTCATAACTTTTCAGATGTCATATTTATTGTTTTAACAATAGGAACATTCTAAAACATGAAATTGCTATGCGACTTTCTGCATGTATTAACAGTAAAATATTCTCAATTATGTAGTAAAAAAATTGCTGTCCCTTCGGCATGTCTAATTGCGTCGTTTCGTGAGGTTTGTGAGCATTGTGCAGTAAAATTTTGTTTTAGACTTGCTGCGCATATTTTAAAATAGATCAAGACAAATGTTGAGCGCCACGCATTATTTGTAAGGTATGTGAAGAAGGTTAAAGACATCGGAATAATGGAATCAGACGATCCCTACCTTTTTGAATACCTATGATATGGAGAGAGCCAACAAATCATCATGATGACTGCAATTTCTGCATGTGCAATATGGATGTAATACTGCTTAATTTCAAAAACATTGTTTATCTGAATCTCAAATCTGCAATTAGGGCCACATGACCCAGATGTCCCAATTTAGAAGAAGATATCATCTGAACTGAGATGACTGAGATCAAATGATAAAGACACGGTTTTGTCTAAACAATTGGCATGTAAAAATATATAATTTCGTGGAAATCTGAACTTTTAGTTCCTATTTATTTTGAATTTTTCTGAACTTGAAGTAGATGAAGATTTTCACAATCAGAGATGAATGCGCGAGACCTAATTTATAAGTTATTTTGAACAAAATTGGATCACTTGCTTATTGCACCGGTATTCCTAATCTAATAAAGAAACTTGGTGCAGACCAGAATTCCGAGGAGTGGAGGCGTTTTATTCATTCGTCCAAGAGAAGCCTTAAAACTGTTCTGTTGCACAACAGAAATATTCTGCTTCCGTACCTGTTGCTCATTATGGAACTACTGCTTGGGAAAATGAAATACAACGATTATAGTTCGATGATTTGTGGTGACATAAAAATTGTGAGGCTAAGTCGGCAGTCAGGATATACGAAATACCCCTGTTTTTAGTGTGAGTGTTATTGTAGAAACAGATAGCAAGATTGGGTGAAAAAGAACTGACCAAAAAGGTTTTAATTTAACTCACGGATCAAAAATATCAAAATATTAAATTAGGACTGATGAAGCAGTACGTTAAAATCTTAAAAAAAGATGGAGCAGGTTTTAAATACCTATTGGAAAAGGTTTCGTGGGTTTAATTTACTGATGTTTTAAAAGTTTTTCTAGGAAACAACAAATAAAGGCATTGTAGTAAACATGTTTGAGAAATGTGGGGAAATGGTACGCAATATGAGTATAAAACTACACCTTTTACGCTCGCATCTGGACTACTTACTCGAAAATCTGAGGAGCAAGGTGTTAAGGAATGGAACGCAGATATGAAGATCGATCGAACGTTGCAATGGTGGCAGATTACAGCTAGTCAGTAAAAAGGGAAAATCCCGAAATGGAATACACAAGAAAATGCGCTAAACCAAGTTTTTCTTCGAAAAATAAATAGACTTAAATGTTTTTAGACACTTTGTTATTTAATTTAGATTCTTAAATTCGGTTTTTGTCCTTGAATTGATAAAAATAATGTTCAAATCAACCGAGATTTTGTTGATAATGACAATGATAATTTTGATAAAAATCCTTAGAGAAAAATGCATATCAGATTTATATTTAGGAGGGCTAAATTATACAAAATCAAATTTCTGTTCGAAATCAACTTTAAAAAGTTTAAATATTGTTTATTTGCGAATTGCTTTTCTGGCATGGTTTACCAAATCGGCTTGTGACATTTTTTTCTCTGCTATCTACTCTCTACGATCCTACTATACGAACAATATTTATAGGTTCGGACAGCAAGTGGCATCTCAAAAACATGTTTGAGTAAAACATAGAGTTTTTATAAAATATAAGTGAATACTGGTCCAACCCAATAGTCGACCCAGCGTAAAACCTTTACCAGATAAAATAATAACCTTGAAAACAATGGCTGACCAAGTAAAGGTTTAATTTCAAATGTCCAGTACAAATTTCAAAAACTGCAAAATGGTATCCAAGTATTCGGCAACATTTACATTTTTTGTTATGTAATGAACAAAATAAATATAAGTTATAATTACATTGAACACGATCTGAGAATGTATTCGAAATTAACCGAAATTAATCATTTTTAAATATAGACTCAAAAAATCGATTCTGCTAGTGGATTTTGGTTTTGAAACAAAAGCTGCAAAACAGGACCTTCTCAAGACCCTAAACGACGTGCATAACACGGTCCAATATAACCGGTGCAATTATGAACACAAAAAAACTCCAAAAACAATTTCCAACCCCCAAATTAGGCGGCGATCGGTCATAGAATAGAAATTTTGCACCGGGTCCGAGTTTGATTAACTTCGAATTAGCTTCGCCCGAGGCTTCACCGAAAGAAACTAATTATTTTCTATCAACCGCGAAGTGATGAATGTGCGTTTCGAGACGAGTCCATTTTATATAAAAATAGAGAACCGACCGCTTACAACTTGATAGAGACTCCCGGGCACCTGCCGCGCCCAAAAAAAATTGACAGTTTACAGTTTACCCCAACTTAAGTCTTTGTAGGGACAAAATAAACTTTAGTAAAACACGAGCTTTATTTAAGAAGAATTTTTTTTTTTATATTCTTACATTCAAATAAATATTCTTCAATAACCAGACTTCTCCGAAGCCTTTAAATCCAGCAGCTACCTGTTTTTAATTGCGTAGATATCATCGATGGATTTCTCGGATTTTACCTTGTGGTGGAAAAGTTCGACCAGTGGGCAAAATATTCACACGATCTTGAGATTTGTGTAATGTGAAGGAAACGCTTGCAGAGAAGATCAAATGAGCAAAAATTGTATGTTTTAAACAGGAAAAAAGTAATTTGAGTATATTTTCTCGCCAATACCAGAACAAGAATTAATTCAAATAATAAAATCATTGAAAAATATGGAGTCAAATGTTAGAGTTACAAAAAACATAAATATTTTACTAATCCTCAACTATATTTCGTTAACCTGGTTTTCTTCAACGGAATCTTCTCCGACATTTTTAAGGAATCCATTATTACCCTCTATATAAATCAAGTTCAAGAGACCAAATGCAATGACAATTGACAGGTCGATTGTACTAATACATAATGACGGTAAAGTCCTTAAAAAGTGTATTGAAATTAGATTAAAACATTTTTTAGGGAAAATACTTTATTCACGGTCGGTTCGTTTAAAGTGTATTACTGTTTTTCTCGATTTGGTCAAAGAATTCGGCACCGTGTCACACCATATCTTGCTGGAGAGACTAGAAGATTTAGGTATTAGAGAGATATTAAAAAAACTGATTAAATCCTACCTACAAGATCGACTGCACAAGGTTAAAGTGGGTGATACCCTAATCTGCTCTCTTCCGGTAGGGTATTGTGTGTCGCAGGGTACGGTTCTGGGGCCAGCCTTGTTTACATTATACGTAAATCGAATATTTTCTGTTTTACCGAAGGAAAGTATTGAAAGTGGCCGTTGCAAAGGCTCAACAAATACTAAGACTCTCAGTTAATTTAGACAAAACCCAATTCATTAGTTATTCCACGACGAAAGGTGGTGCCCCAGAAGTGCAAAGAATAAAAATTCATCATTTTGACTGTTTAATTTATGAAACCAATTTTATGTGCGATCTTTACACATAAATTCCACCAAAAAGTTAAAATATTTAGGGGTAGTT